CGGCATAATCGGACGCATAAAAAAAATTGAATTAAATAAGAGGAAGTAGGAAGTTCGGGTTGTGTTGGATTATTACATAAAAAAAAAGAGATTTGATATAAAAGCTTTAAAGCATTGGAAACAATAACTGAACTGCTGATTGATTAAAGCTTAAAATCGGATTATCATAACATTAAAGGCGTGATGTGAAATAAATGAAATAAAAATGTGCATGAGAAACAATTTTTTTGTCATCGATAATGGAAATTAATTGAATTTTTTTTTATTGCTGTGCAACTCGACAGTTTTTTTTTGTTCCTTTTATATTTTTATTCATGAATATATTCAGTGTTTGGATGGAAATTAAATTTTAACAATCTACAATACGGGCTTATGATGGTGTGAAATGTTGAATATTCATGAGATTGTGAGGAACGGAGAGGAATTTCCCCATGCATCTAATTAAAAATGTCAATATAATATAGACTGCCAATGTGAACATACAGAAATATATAAAAAAAAAAGTTTCATTTTTATTGAATAACGATAAAAAAAAAATAGAAAAAAAGACGACGAGAACTTTTTTCAATAACTCGAAAACAGCCGATCCGTGAAATTTATTCTACCCCAAAACTCAGTCACATTTTATATTTTTTTATTATTTTTCTTCTCAAATGTGTGTTAGTGCTTATAGTGCTTAAATAATAATATCATCATATGTGCAATTCATTTCAATTTTCTTCTTTTTGAACTGCCCCGATTGCTAAATCTGTTTTTGAAAATCTATGCTGGATATTGATATTTTTTTAATGCTCATATAGACGTGTAGTTGATGCGATTTGAAAACAATTTTCCTTTTTTTCTTGTGCGGTTGATGATAAGTATGAAAAGTCTTTGTAAGTTTCTTAAGTAGCGCATTTTTGGACGTGGACTTTTGCTTTGTGAGGAATTTTTAAAGTTTGAAATTTAAGCTAAGGAATTAGAATTCAATCTTAAAGATTATATTACAATTGATCGAACTAAGTTTAGATTGGAAAGTCTAGAAATAGAAATAAAGGCATAAGACTTTTATATGTCAAATCTACAGAAAAAAGAATAACTTCGGATAACGAGACTCAAACGCGCGACCTACAAATTCTGATCGAATGTTCCTACTACTGAGCTTTTGGTGATTAGTCGACTTTATGACAAATTCCCATATTTAAGTGTCACTCATGATATTCTCTTGAATTAACATGATTAATCGTTGACTGGCTATTAAGTGGAGTTACCATATTCCAACATTTGATTGCTTAAGCTAGAGTCCTAGTTCTTGTAATACCTTTAAAACTTTGTTTTAGATTTAAAACTTAAAATTATTTTACAAATAAATGCTGTACTCGATTAGGGACCTTAATGGCTTCCTCAGAGTTCATCCAATGTGAGAGAAGCAAAGAACCAAGTAGGAAATGCATTTTCAATTTTGAACTAGGTGCGACCCTAGTCAAAATCAATTTTCTCACTTTTTTCTTCGAGGGTTTATACAAATGAATTGAAACTTTGCATAAATATTCTAATGCTTAAAAAAATTACAAATAATACGTTCTAAAACTTTTTTGAGCAAAGAACCAAGTAGGAAATGCATTTTCAATTTTAAACTAGGGGCGACCCTAATCAAAATCAATTTTCTCACTTTTTTCTTCGAGGGTTTATACAAATGAATTGAAACTTTGCATAAATATTCTAGTGCTTAAAATAAATACAAATAAAACATCCTAAAATTTTTGAGCAAAGAACCAAGTAGGAAATACATTTTCAATTTTAAACTAGGGGCGACCCTAGTCAAAATCAATTTTCTCACTTTTTTCTTCGAGGGTTTATACAAATGAATTGAAACTTTGCATAAATATTCTAATGCTTAAAAAAATTACAAATAATACGTTCTAAAACTTTTTTGAGCAAAGAACCAAGTAGGAAATGCATTTTCAATTTTAAACTAGGGGCGACCCTAGTCAAAATCAATTTTCTCACTTTTTTCTTCGAGGGTTTATACAAATGAATTGAAACTTTGCATAAATATTCTAATGCTTAAAAAAATTACAAATAATACGTTCTAAAACTTTTTTGAGCAAAGAACCAAGTAGGAAATGCATTTTCAATTTTAAACTAGGGGCGACCCTAATCAAAATCAATTTTCTCACTTTTTTCTTCGAGGGTTTATACAAATGAATTGAAACTTTGCATAAATATTCTAGTGCTTAAAATAAATACAAATAAAACATCCTAAAATTTTTGAGCAAAGAACCAAGTAGGAAATACATTTTCAATTTTAAACTAGGGGCGACCCTAGTCAAAATCAATTTTCTCACTTTTTTCTTCGAGGGTTTATACAAATGAATTGAAACTTTGCATAAATATTCTAATGCTTAAAACAAATACAAATAAAACATCTTAAAACTTTTTTGAGCAAAGAACCAAGAAGGAAATACATTTTCAATTTTGGACTAGGGGCGACCCAGCCAAAGAATGATTTTTGCTATCCATACAATCCCTCTGGCTACATGCCTACTTCTCGGTGTCGCTGAAGGAATAACAGATTCTTTAAAATTGAATTCAATTTAAACTTCCTTAATTTCGAATGGAGCTATTTTTTAAACATGATTTAATTGAATTATCAACTTTTTACAAGTTTTAAAAATAGTCAAGGCTTCAAATTTCAATAAAAACTTCCTATTTTGAACTGCTTTCAAGTTTAAATCAATTCTTCACTCTGCAAAAGATCCAATAGAAGCAAAAGTCCATTAATCCTCACTCCAAAAAAGTGCTATCTAAGAAAATTTCTTCTTTACCAGAGAACCTTAAATGAATTGTTGGGCAATCATCGAGAGAGACTCTTTAAAAGTGAGAAATAAATGTGGAATCATCAAGAAGTGCTGAAAATGGACGAATATTGTGTGACACTCATAAAATACAAGTAAAAAGAGTGAAAGAAAAAGAAAAAGGAAAGATCCTGGAAAACTTATAGCCTCTGCACGACAAAACCATTCATTTTTTTTGCTGCAAAGAAAGAAGGACTTGAGAGAAGGAGAGCCTTAAACGACAGAGGCAAAGTACCGTAAATATATAATAAATAATAGCAGAGCAATCAAATAACAATGAAATTTACGAGAAACATTGAAAGGATGCTGATCCAAAATTGTGGTTTACAGTTTTTCACATTAATGCTCCTTGCAGGTATGTTTGGTTTATGTCTATATATATGTTGTGTGTGCTGTACATTACATAATTTATTGTCTTAATGTCACATTTTCGTGACATTAAACTCCATGTTTAACATCCTCAACACTTGAAATTGATATACAAGCATTTTATTTTTTTTTTTCTAATGGATTCGTCATTATGATTAATACGTTGACAGAAGATGATGGAAATTAATATGATAGGCAAAATGTTAATGATTATATTCGCGGGTCGATTTTCCTCTTCCACGGGATTTTGATGTGGAAAAAATGTGAGAAATTTTTCGTAATTAATTTGGTTTTAATGAGAAAATTGAAATTAATTTGTTTCACAGAAATTGAACGTGGAAATTATTAGACAATAAGGCATAGTGACGATGATTAAATTAGATTCTTATAGATCTTCCTCGTTTGTAGTTTTAATCTTTGTGAATTCGTGAAATTTTGAGTCTTTTTGATAAATCATTTCCTCACTTTGCTCTTCATGGTTTGGGGATTTTGAAAAATTAGTTTTTCATATTTTATAATAAGGGGCCGTTCAGCTATGACGTCCAAGGAAGCAGGAGAGGGGGGGGGCAGCAAGAAAAGAACAATTGAATTCTTGAAAAATGACCTTTAAAAAAGGACGTCATAAGTGAACGACTCCTTAGTGAACAACATCAAATTTCAAAGCTTATTTTATGGATATTTTAATGTTAATTAGCTTTAATAAGGCTTTCTGAGAAATACATCCTTTTAATTAAAAATAGAAAAAGTTGAAGTTCCTCACGTGTTTTACGCTGTTTTATGGCAAACTTGATATTTATGAAATTAAACATTATGCAACCTAATCAGCACAACTGCCATCTTTAAAACGGTTTAAGAAAGAGTAAATTTAAAAAAATAAAGCCATAAGCGTAGATAAGAGGTTCTAATGAATTTCAGACCTGAAGTTTCTATAAGAAAAAATTAAAAAGAATTCAAAATAATCAATAAAGAGCTTAATCTGTGCTTTCAAATTTATAAAAAGCTCCGATTTCGCCCTACGATTCACAGTGGATCAATAGGAACTAATCATCTTACCATCAAATTTTGTGGATTAAGGAGTAAACAGCCGACCTAGTAGCTATTTGAAACTGTTCCGATCGGGAAATATTCAAGTCTATTAATATATTATTCCTTAGATACTGAAAATGCTAAGAGGATTATAGAAACTTAATAGGAGATAACTCAATTCCTCAAAAGCTTTTGTGGTATCTTCTTACTAAGTTGTGAAAAATTCAAAATAATTTGTTGTATTTTCTGCCTAATTAGCGTAAAGCTGCAGGTATATTGTTGCTTACAAGCTTCTTAAAATACCCAATACAGATTTCTATAGAAATTATACCCGAACATAGCTTGCTTTCTTACTTTAACTGCTGGCCTGATCATTGCACTTTGAGATTTGAAGCGGGAGGAGGGTTAATCCAGTGCTTCTCGAATTTTTCAAAGAAAGAAGTACTAAATCCTCCGTTCACCATTTTTGGCACTAAAGGTTCTAATATTGACAAAACCTACACTTTATTTGCTAACCAGAAGTGCTTTGCGAATCATAATTTTAGGACCACAGGGGTAGCGGTACTTAGACATACTTTAAGTATGAGTCAATTATCTTAATCTAATCCCGGAAAGCTACCAACATTTCATTAAGTTTTGTCCAAGTTTTGTCTTGTCAGCCTACAAAGCAGGTTACTTCAGGACTTATTAGCAAAGATCATAAAATTAATTATCCGAAATTATTAACAAGAACGGAACATCCTGAACTACCTCACATAAAAAAACATAATGACAATAATAACAGATAAATTGCAAATTTCGCCACTTATCACAAGTCACATAAAATACAAACATCATCTGCTAGCAGTGCCAGCATACAGCAGCGGTAAATCATATTGTAGTTAATTAAAAAACCACAAAAACATGTTCGCTTACTTCATATTCTCATAGTTATTATTACAACGAAATTATGTTGAACAGCATATAGCGAATTTACCATTAATTTCATCACTCATATAGACTCTCGTTGGAGTGACTTATGTGGAACATATTGCGATGTGTATACATATGAGGAGATTTATAAATACATGAATTGCTTACAAATAAACAGGCACACATACACACACACAAATATAAAGCTACGCACCCAGTTTGCTAAAATATATCTCGTGGCAAAAAAAAATAAATATATATTTTTGATATGAGCTTCATTCGCTCGACGTGAGTTGACCATAAATAAAAATTAACAATATAATGATTTAATGGATTTAATGTGTAGCATGAGTCCTGTGGAAAAAAATAAATAAATAAATTGCCGTCAGTTGAGTTTTACTTCATTTTTGTTTTTAGCTGATCATAAATTCATTATTGAGTTCATTTTGGACTGAGGCTGAATGATGAATTGCAGTTAAAATCATTTTAAAGGAGATGAAGGCATTAAGAGAAGAAGTTTTTAATAGCTTAAGAGTTTTTCAATTTTAACTGATTAATAGGAAGTAGGGGATTTAATTTGAGAGGAGTTTCTATGGAGGGAAGGTGGGGGGGGGGGGTCGAGCTCCATAAAACACTACAAACACGAACAATTGCTGAGTTCAAACATCCTATAAATCCGAAAAAACTAGTTAATCCTCAACAAACAAACTTTAAGCTTCTCAAAAAAAAAGTCATCTAAAAATTTATTTCCTCGTGACTTTTCACAAATTAAATGATTATTTTCGAAAAAGCCACGAATCTAAGTGCTGTGGGAGTAAAAGACCTAAAATCATTCTCCAATTCGTCTTCAGTTCTCCATCCACTTTTTTGAAATTCTGAAAAAGGTATAAGATACCCTAACAGCATGCCATAAATAAAAGTTCATCAATTTTCAACCTGTGTACGGTATGAGAAGTGCCAAGAAGAACCTTTTACTTAGTTGAGAGTGAAAAATAAATTTTCGGTAAAAGAGAAGCAAAAAAAAAAAGTTTGAGGAAGTGAAAAATTCTTGCTTTCTCTGTAAGTAAAATATGTATGATGCCGTGCCATAAAGAATAGTAGGCGAGAGTGTAGCAATTTTTAAGGGACCATTACGGAAGCATTTTTCACTCATTTTCCATGCTACTTGAAAAAAGTTTATTTTTTTTTCTTTCTGTTGCTGTTGATGGAAGCTGGTGTTGGTATGGAGTGTGTGAGAGGTGGTATGGGGAGGGATGAGTTGCTTAATATATAGATGTATTATACACACTGAAATGAATGAAAAGTTTTTTGGCATCATCTCTTATCAACTTTAGAGCATTCATTTTTCCTTTCACATTCTAAAAAGCTTTTTTTTGAAGTCTAATGGATTAATGGATTTTTTGGTACTAAAAATGAGAAATAAGAAAATTTCCAAGAACAAGAAAAGTTTTTTATTTTTGAAAAAAAAGGAACTTGTAACAACTGCTAACTGCTGTTAAGACAGCAAATAGAAGCCATGTAATGTTTTTAGCTATGAAATTAAGTAAATGAGTGTAAAGCAATGTGAAGAAGCTTTCAATGAGTATTTACCTTGGTCTCGCATTGTCATATCTTTCTAGCTTTGATTTTGAATGTCCTTATGGCAAATTATTGTCGTATTTGGGGAAGGAACACATTTTAGATGATAAGGGTGAACTTACTAGCGATGAACTTACTAAGGATGAAGCTACTAAGGTTGAACTTACTAGAGATGAACTTACTAAGGATTAACTTACTAGATATGAATTTACTAGGGATGAACTTACTAGGGATGAACCTACTAAGGACGAACCTACTAAAGTAGAACTTACTATGGATGAACGTACTAAGGACGAACCTACTAAGGTTGAACTTACTAAGGATAAACTTACTTGATATGAATTTACTAAGGATGAACTTACTAGGGATGAACTTACAAGGGATAAACTTACTAAAGATGAACTTACTACGAATGAACTTACTAAGGATCAACTTACTAGGGATGAAATTACTAAGGCCACATACTAGGGAAGAACCTACTAGGGTTCAGAAACTAGCATTTTATTTAATAATTTGAACTCAAATATATCATTTTGAGTATTATCAAACTACATACTATTTATAGTCAGTCACACATCAATGAACCAACACTGCTGAAAACAACAAAACAAAAATTCCCAGTAAATCCTTAAAATGTCATAGAAAATCTGTTACAATAGTTCTTTGCTCCAGCAACATATTTTTTTGTGTTTTATGATCATGTTATCTACAACAATTAAAAATGAATCAGCAATAAAAGTGTCCAGCAGTTGAGTCAAAACAATAAAGTTAGTAATAATGACCTGTATAAACAGTCCATCAAACTTGTTGCTACCAATTTATCACCTAAAGGGAGGCGAACAAAATATTATTTTTCAGAGTAAAATTTATTGCAAGGATTGCAAAAACTTTTTATCTATCCTCGTGGCCAATGAATCGGTAAAAATAGAACTTTCGACTTTTCTTTTTTATGTACTTTATGTTGCTTTATCTGTTTCTCTCGCTTATTTTCTACTGATTTCATTTTAAAAGCAAATCGAGATTTCTTTTCTTCATCCTCATCACTATTCATTGAGTGGCACACCGAGGTAGACGAGAAAATGTTGTTTTACTTTTTTTCATTACATTCCCATAAACTTTTATTTTTTTTTCGTACTTTTTTTGGTGCACACTTTTCTCATGGAACATAAATCCTGATCTATTACAATTTTATCTTTCATCTCACTTTATTCTCTTTTAGAAATCAATTGATATGTGTGTTTGGTTGCTTATCTCTTTTAGTCACAAGCTTTGGGTGTAAGGAATTCAGATTGAGCTTGAATTTTGTGGAAGTTGAGTAAAATTGAAAACTCTTGTCGATTTTTGGTTAAGTTTAAGATTAATATCCAGCTAAGCATCAATATTATCCAAAAAAAAACCTATAAAAAAAATAAAAATCAACCTAAAATGCGCTCAAACTTAATCAAATCAATTTTAAAAAATACTTTCTTTCATCCACAATTCTAAATCAATATGCCGTATATGTTTTGCCAACATGAAATAAAATATATAAAAACTTTTCCACTGCAATTTTTCTTCAGGCAAAACTTTTTTTTTTCTCACATTTATTTTTCATAGGTAGAACAAATTCTTTTATTCCTTAATGTTTGTAAGATTTGTGTTGATAAAGTTTGTTTTCATGTGCTACTTCTTCCTTTACATGTTGAGGAGAAAAAAAGGACGAAAAATTTCTTTTTAATATCATCACAAAATAGTTTGTCTTCTTTTTTATTTTGGGGTGGTTGCTTCTTACTCCATCGATTCCTTATGCTTTCCGATAGATGATTTTTACTAGATTTTTCATCTTTTTTCTATAAAAGCATCCTTTTAACATTTTCTGTCTAACTTCTTTGAAGGGGCGTTCAACTAAAGTATCATATGAAAATAGGGGGGGGGGGGGGGGGTTCTGGATAAGGGGTGTCAGAAAAACTTAAACTCTTGAATTTAAATTCTAGGGTAGTTTCACACCCTTGGTAGGGAGGAGGGGATTTGGGTGACCCCTTTAAACTCTTGAATTTAAATTCTAGTGTAGTTCCGCATCCTTGGTAGGGATGCCTCCTCTCTTCCTCCTCTCTTCCAAAAGTTTCAATATAAGAAATTTTTTGTCCCCCCCCTCTTCAAATTTCTGGCTACACCCTTGGTGGTGGTGTCCAAAAATCCCAAATACCGTCACTTATGAACAATCCCCTTCCCAACTATCAAAAACTTTTTGCCTGAATAAATGCGACATGCAAAAAAAAATTGGAATTGTATGTCAATCTCTTTAAAACTTTACAAATATTCTGTGTGCTACCAAAAAGGATTGAATTTAATGTTTGATGACACACAAGGACGAGTAAAAAGAAAGGCAAATAGATGCAAGGAGCCTTGAAATCTCTTCTTATATTGCCGAGCCGAGATTGAAAAAAATTGGAATTGTTAAAAAGTTTACTCGTCTTTAAGTTTCTTGATATTTTATTTTTGGAATAATAATACTCGATGGTAGCGTAAAGGAATTGGAATTGAAAAAATATTCAAAAAAAAATATTAAGCTTCTTTATTGAAATCAATTCAAAATTTACATTTAGAAGTTTTTGATGTGTATAATCAAGAAAAGTTGGAGAAAATTATTCATAGAGCGTTCAAGAAGTAATTTTATTAGCATATAGTAAAGCTTTTGATGATATTTTAAGCCATTTTCAGTGCTTAGTGCTAACAAAGTTCTGTTCTGCTCTGTTTGAAGCTTGCATTTTAAACAGTAATTTAAGAGATTTTTATTGTTCGTAGGAAAATTATATAAAGTTGTTCTGATTTCTGGTTTGATGGAGTCTTGCATGGATAAATGATGTTCAATTTTTATTGAGGTTGGGGTTTTATGCTGATACTTAGTCAAAGTTAAGAATACAGTCTCAGTTTTTAAGGAGGTTCGACATTTACCCTCAATTTTTGCTAGGAGTTCGGATTCATCCTTCAGATCCTTTTAACTAGAGCTTAGTTTTATGAAAAGGTTCAAATATATGTCAGCCTATTCAGAAGCTTCTCGCTGAAAACTCACCCAGAAAACAACATTCATTCCAACCCCAGCCAATTAAATTCCAACAAAAAAAAAACTTAAAAATCATTTCAAATTTATTTTTACTTCCAACCTGCTTCCTAAGAAGCCTATCAAGTGTCAACATTATATTCAGCATAAATTAATGTACAAAAAAAAATTACCTGTTCCAAAAAAAAATTCTCATTGGCTTCTTCTTGTTACTTTTTAAAAGCATTATGACATGTCATGGAAGCTGAGGCAAAAGCGTAGCAATGTCAACAGGTTTTCATTCCTCACCTCATGATAAAATAATAACAATAAAATTTTTTTTCAGTGCCGCCTCT